TCTCTCTCTCTCTCTCTCTCTCTCTCTCTCTCTCTCTCACACACACACACACACACAACTGTGAAACTGAAACAAGCCCCTTTTCATAGCTCCTGATCTCTAAGTAAAGAACTGTTTAATGCTAGGACTTTGGCTCCAAGGTTTGGCAAAATGTTCTCTAATCCAGGAAACAGTTTAGACAATTCAGAAAATATGGGAGGAAAAAGAAAAAAACAAAACAAAGAAACAAAAACAAGAGAGCAACAACAAATTAAATGCATAAGGGCAAACTTAGGATCTTTAGGTTCTTCTCAGGGAACTAGTTCAGAAACACTCATTAGATTTCCCATAAAGATTTCATTAGATTGCCCAGCTCCCTGCGTTTGTAAGAAATGAAACTGCATGGCTTCTCAAATCCCCACTCAACAGCATCAGGCAAGAGATCGTTTACAAGGGGTCTCCCTTCCTGCGTATGCGCCCAGCTTTGTGCTCCATTTGTCTGCTCTACATACTGCATATTCTCCACATTTTTCTCCTTGTCAAAAAAGTATGTTCAAAAGAAATAACTTGGATTTTTGTTAAGTTCCAATTAACCAAGAGCTTTAAATACTAAAATTTTACTACAGAAAACTTCATTATATGCTATATGATGTAAGCCAAACAAGTATAAACTGTGTTAACTGAACAGACATTCTGGGGACCACTTGGAATGAGCTCACTAAGGGGAGAGGTAATGTCAGCGGCAGAACACAGGTCGTCTATGTGGCTTAGGGATTGCTCTTTATGTAGTTGCACCTGCAGGCATTGATGTCCTGGATCCTGGCAGGGTCCATGTGCTAAGAGCCCACAAAAGGGAAAGAAAAAAACCCCTCCACTTCATGAAATCTAAGCCTGTCACACCTTCATCCCAGTCCCTACCTTTTCCCACCACTTGTCACCTCACAGGGTGAACACCAGACAGAACAAGACACACAGATACGATGATTCTGGCCACATACTACTTTCAGAGACTCCAAACCTATCCCCAGTCTCTCACTGGAGCCCCTAAACCAAATGAAGGGGTGAGGGAGAGTCTTCAGAAAAAATTTAGGCTAATTCTTTTGATCATGATTTTTAATAGTTAATGGATATAAACACTCTTTACTTTTGTTTTTGCTGGGATAGTGAGATATAACAAAGCTACATGTTCTAAAGCAGAACAGATTTCCCTGAGAACTTTTAAAAGTCTTACTGCTTGAAAAATCATCATGGCTTTCAATAATGCTGAGAGAAAAATACACCTTGCTGTTGTTTTAAGAAGCTACCCTTCAGAATCTCAAAGGAAAACAAGAAGAGAAAGAGCACAGACTTCTAGAATGCTTTGAAAAGCTTGAGCATTTTTTTCAAAGGAAAGGGTCTTTGTCCAGAGAGCAGGTTTATGACCACTGATGCAAATCCTGACCAAAGGCTGTGCGTCTTTAGGGATGGCCTTAGAGGCAGACGAACAGTCAATGAGATTAAAGACAGCCCAAAGCCCTCCCTGCATACCAGGATGGACCAGGTCTTAAAGATGTGCTTTCCTTAGCACATAATAGTGACTGTCACTAATAATTTATACTACTATAACAACCCAAGTTGCTTTAGAATGGAGCTCTAGAATACCCTTTCAGCATTTATACTAGGCTTATGCTTTAAAATATTAGCTGAATTACTTTAACACTGGTGGACAGGATAGAAATGCTTTTATTAAGTATGTTTCTTTGGTGCCTTCATGGTGTTAGGTATGTTTCTCCATCACATAGACTCTGGACTACTTAAAATTTTATACCTGAAAGGAGAGAGGAAACAGTAATTTCTCTAGCATACTGCTTATAAATATCAAATGAAAAAATATGTATCTCCATTTAAGGAGAAAGGAAATTAATAGTCCAGGTAAAAACAGACCAGATATGTATTTCTGGAAAACTTCTTAGTTATGTTTTTAAAAATTAATAAAGCTCTTAGTATTTCTGCCATCATCTCCTTGGTCTTATGAAAATTAATTCATTTTGAAATGCACTACAAGTTCTTTTTTTTTTTTTTATCAGTAGAGTGAATCCCTCAATTCATATGGTCACTATCTCTCCAACAGCATCTATAGAATGGGCTCAACATTTTCCTAGTCTTAATTTCTTTTTCTTTTTTCTTTTTGGTGGAACTGGGGATTGAACTCAGGCCCTTGCAACTG